AAACACCTGTGCACAAACAGACTCCCCCTGATACCTCCAGCTCAAACATACCCCAACCAGGCACCCAGATGAAACCTAGCTTCCTAATAAATGAGAGCCATTCATATACTCAGAGCCAAGCCACACTAAAAACCTTCAATACAGGAAACACAATGTTTCCAGCCAATCAAGACAAAAAAAAACCCCACAAAACAGACAGAAGATATTAGAAACACCAATCAAGCAGAACACAGCAAACTCCAAGACCAATAAACACAGACCAAGACTCCCAACCAATCAGGATGAAGAAAAAACCATTCTGGCACAGCAGTAGGCTAGCCCCAAATTTAAAACTGAAACAACTGTAAAAGTCTGACTCACAGACGAACACAATACAGAAGCCTGATGATGGCAGATGAGATTCTGCTGAAACGTTGCCACAACTTTAAAAGCACAACTATAATGACGTGGGAAAATACCCGAACAAAGCTGAATACCATACGTGTAAGTACCCGCGAAAACTTAAGAAATATATATATATATGTTTTCTGAGGTTTTCGTGGGTATTTGTATGTGGATCTTTGGTTATTCGGGTTTTCTCCCCCGTAAAATTGGAAGTAACTTGGCGATGTTTCAATGAAGTCTCATTCGTCATCTTCAGGCTTGTGTCTTCGGCTTTGTGCTTCTCAGAGTAATGTGAGCTTGCAGCTGCTTCTTTCTTTTAACTGCTAGTGGCCACATGGGAAAGAAAAACTGAACAACTTCCTTGTTGAGGTAATTCCCCGTTAGGAGAATGAGCGCATACAGGGAGACGTATTTGAGAATAGTGTTTGAATAATACACATACACAGCACACAGATACACTGTACAGTAAATGTAGGTTTTTACTTCCAGAAATGTTAAACAAAGTCCAAACAAGCAATCCAAAGTCATTCCCAGGTAAATCAGTCAGTTTTTCAATCCAGGGATATTCCAAATATCTAAGTCCAGTGTCAAAAAACAGTTCAGTAACAGACTTACATTAAATCCAGAAATATCAGTCAATTAGGAAAAATGGAGGAACAGCGATACTTTCCAACAGAAGGAAACAGAGAGTTACTCACACTCTCTTCTGAGACTAAGGCTAAGGCAACCCAGGTTTCTGGCTCCATCTTATGGCCGTTTGAGAAACCACACCTAATTACAGTTTTGCATTTTCTTAAAAGATACAGTTTTAAAATGTTTATCCTGGTTTATATATTTCTAACCCAAATAGCTGTTAGATGACTCATATTCCTAACATTCCTCACACACCTCAACAGCCTACACCCCAAAATACAATTCACCATGGAAACAGAAGCTAACAATCAACTTCCTAGATGTCTTAGTATACAAAAAATCCAATGGCTCCCTAGGACACACCATCTACCAGAAGAAAACACATACAAACCGCTATCTACATGCATTCTCACACCACCACCTAGCACAGATCAATGCCGTAGCCGAGACACTCATCTCCAAAACGAAATGCTTAGCTGACGAAGAACACCTAAAAACCGAACTACACACTCTCACTAACGTACTAACAGCCAATGGATTCCAAAGAAAGAAGATTACCCACCTAATCCAAAAAGAAACCCCAACCAAAATCCAAGACAGAGAACAAGAGAATGGCAAAGCCCTCCTCCCATATATAAAAGGCACTATAGGCAAAATCAGCAAGATCCTCCAAAAACACAACATTAAGACAGCATTTTGCACAAACAGAGAAATATCCACCATCCTAAGATTGTGGGGCAAAACTTATAGCTTAAATGAGCTTTTGGTTTGTTGGTACTTTTATCTAGCAGTCAGTCCAACAGATAACTAACGTAGCAAGAGTATGTTTTAGGAAGAACCAGTTTTATATTCACATTGTTTTACTTCTATTCCTAAATATTATGTGCAACAAACATACCACCCATTTCTAGCGTGGATGAATTGAGAACATAAGCATAAAATCCAAGACATTAAAGCAAATACTTGTTTGCAATGGGAATATGCAGAGTGTTTGTGCCTTTATTTTAAGCTTTGTGTTTCTTCAGTATCAGCAAAATTCATTTTAATGCTTCTCATAAAGTGAGACATTTATCCATAAGTTTATTGCTCTTATTATTCTTTTGTTTTAATTTTATTTTACTGTTAATACTGTTTTGTTTTATGGTACAAGATCAGCGTTCATATTTATCCTTAGTTATCTGTTTTTATGCTGAAGGCTGCTCTAATTAGTGTCACCCTAAGAGAAACCTAAACAGTCTTAATTGCTTAAAAGTTTATGTTGTTTTGCCTTGGGAAAGAAAGCAGCATACCAGAAGTTTCCCAAAATTATTCCAGTTCTAGAACAAAAGGCAGGTGATATTTTCCCTCTCCCTCTTATAATGTTAAAATTTGAGATAGTTAAATTAATTTTCAAAAGCTTTTGGAAGGAAAAAAAATAACATATTTCTTCAAGAATGTACTGAAAAAATGTATTGGGTTCACTGCTGTATATGCCGAAGATACCGGGTGTCATTCTTAATATTTCTGGCCCACTGCTGCTCATATTTTTAGATGGAGAATAGTCAGAACTTGGTGTAAGTTCTTCAGTTATTTGCTCTATAACACAGCAATGGTCACTAGTAAAAGCAATAGCAATAGCACTTAAACTTATACACCACTTTACAGCCCTCTCTAGGCAGTTTACATTGTCAGCATATTGCCCCCAACAATCTGGGTCCTCATTTTACTGATCTCGGAAGGATAAGTCAACCTTGTGTCGGTCCAGATCGAACTGCTGGCAGTTGGCAGAGTTAGCCTGCAATACTTCATTCTAACCACTGCACCACCATGACTCTTACATAAGTCACCCTAACCCTAAATGAACTGTTGTAAATCAAGGATTACCTGTACTGCCATTTACTCATCTCAAGCTTTTTCCCCACAATGTTTAATTTTCTGCCTTCAGCATTGCATCACAAGCTCTGCTTCTTTTGGCTTTGTTGTCATGATTCATGAGGAAGAGAGGCAGAGCTTGCACTTTGACCCTGTGATGCTGCTGTCATCTCTCTGCCCAACCTCCCTTGTAGATGCTGCTGGCTTTCATATTTGGGAATAGCCTGTGCACCACATTTTTTACTTCATCAAGCATTCCAAGCAACGCATTCAATTAATGCAAAGAGCTCTACATCAATTTCAAGCATAATGAATAAACCTATTCTTGTAACTGCAGGTCGCAACATATAATGTACCATATTTTTTTAAAAAAATCACAGTAGTAAGATTATAAAATTAAATAATTGAGAGTATGCAATGTCAGAAGGTTAAAACAAGATAGAGCCAGAGTTACAACTAAGAAAAGTATTACTTTCTATATTAAATGACAGCAGAGCAAAGTAGCAGTTTGGTTGTTAACAATTGGAAACACATCTGCAAGAAGATAATTCAATTGTTTGAGATTTTCAACATAGTGGCCAAATAATTAAAAGCATAAAAAAATCCGGCATGACCTGATGGTTACTTGCAATTCTCCTTCTATCCTTAGGCAGGATACATGTCTGGAATGCTGGTCCCGGTGGGTGTAGGCATTGCTGGAGCCCTCTTCATCCTGGGAGCACTTTATAGCATCAAGATCATGAACCGCCGTCGCAGAAATGGTTTTAAAAGACATAAGCGAAAGGTTGGTATTCTTTTCTAAATGCCGTGAAATTGCTCAAGTTTTCCCCTCAACCCAAATGATTGCTTGCTCTTGAAATGTGCCGTCTTATCTTTAAAATCAACAAGGCAATGGATTAAAGCTGTTCAATGTCTATAGTTTGCAGTTCGTGTTTTTGACATGAATAAAGAATGGTTTAAAGCAAGCATCCATTTACTGTATTTGTCTCACTCCTTTTCTTTGAGGCAACCAAGATTTATTTCTGTGGCGACATAGGCTGTGTTTCTATTAAAACAAGAATACATTGGCTTTATGTGAGAGAAATTAGATTTGTAAGATGCATTATTAGAAGAGAGCTAGTTTGGTGTCATGGTGAAAGCACAAGGCTAGAAACTGGAAGACTGGGTGTATCCTGCAGTAGTCCTGCCTTAGGCACAAAGCCAGCTGGGTGACCTTGGGCCAGTCATACACTCTCAGCCCTAGAAAGGAAGAAATGGCAAACCACTTTTGGAAAACTTTTCCACCTTTGCTTGGAGTCAAAAACTGACCCAAAGGTACACAAACACACACACACACACACACACACACACACACACACACACACACACA